CATGTCGGTATACCCCGCACAGTTCCCTCACAGTTTTATTGCTATTTACCTAAAAAGGTGCCCCCAAATCCGGGTGTAGGATTTATAACAAATCCAAACAAGGACCAAAAAAGTAAAGCAATCAAAGCAATCAATAGCAAGTATGTATAGGTGATCTAAACCCTAAGGTAACCCCACTTTTAAATTTGTCCCCAGCAGAGTCGCCAGTTCTGTGATACGGTGGGAGAACTGACTTGGGGTTTTGCGTTTGTATTCGCACTTGTTCGGTTTAGCAAGAGTCGCCACCGAATTTTTATTTTATCCTAAAGGAAAGGTTAAAAAGCACAGGAAAAACCTTTGAGATGTTTCGTGGGTTCGGGGGGTAGATTATGAAAAGGGAAGGTATTAGCACCCTTTTCATCCATGGTTATCCATGGGCTCTTAGTTACTTGTTTTAGATCACTTGCCTTTGATTTTCAATTGCTTGGAATGGTGGTGTGTGTGTGTGTTTTGAAAATGTTTTTGAAAAAGATGCCTTGTCTAGGCAACCGTTGTAACAATTCTTTACTCGAATGTTTTACAAAGGTGTTTGTCTTTTCGAAAAGATATTTCAATGTTTTTGAAAGTGTGTTGTGGAATGGGTTTTGAAAAGTAGGCAAGCGTGTTTTGCAAGTTTGATCAAGTAACTAAGAGTTGTCTACCCCTAAATTTACTCAAAGATTTTTCTCATGTTTGAACCCTTTTAACAGTATTGTTCCACCATTGTATTTGGTGGGCAATCTTGTGTTAGGATGTTAACGGGACGGGCGCGGGTCATCGTATGGACCATGAATGCAATGGTGCCAAGTGTCTTTGGCAATTTTCTTGAGGGACTATGTTCATTTCGTTTAGGAAACTTCGAAAGCGTCATCGAGGGACTATGATCATTTGATTTGTTTTGTTTTGCCAAAGAAACTCAACATGCAAGCTTGGCCCATTTTGGAAGGCAACAAGCGGGATTACCCTAGGGGTGCAAGTGTGAATTGTGTATTGATTGTCATGCATTTGTCTTGTATTAGGTTATCTAGCGGTTGATTTTGAATCTTCGCATACAAACCCTAATTACTATACAATATATAGAAAGCGATAAATTGCGGGAATTTAAAGTCTAAGCTATTACAAATAAGTATCCGGGGATGGGGGTACAAATATTTACAAATGGGGATGAGACTTATTAGGAGAGTAGTGTCCAAATATATTTACAACCAAATTGAATCGTATTCTCAATGTAATATATATCAATGTATAAGAATAAAAGCAATGTATCAAAAGTATTTGTGAAAGTGTATGTGATTATTTACAAATGAGAAAAGATGTTAACTTAATGCAAAATTAAGTAAGTATTTATTCTTTTTTGTGTTTTTTGTTAATATGTACAAACAAATGTTTTAGTTATAGAAAAGAAAAGAAAATGCTTAAGAAATTCTATTTTTTATGTATTAATATTTTTTTATATATTTTAGTTAATATATAAAAGGGTTTTAAAGAAAAGAAAAGAAAATTGTTTAAACCTAATAAAATCTAATATTTACATTTTAAGTGTAAAAGAAAAAAATATTAGTAAGATATTTACAAAAAAAAAAGGGAATTAATGTTTTATTCTTATTTAGCAAAAATATTAGCTTGAGTTATATACAAAAAATAAAGTGATAAACATAATATTAGTTTGAAGTAAACAAAATAAATAAATAATAAAAATAAAATAAAAAAAGGCAAGAAGATTGAATGGGCCTTAGAGGGGAAAGCTGGGTGGCCCAAACACTTAATCAGAATAAAGAAAAAAAGGGGGGGGGGGGGGGCGCCTGTTTGTGATGGGCTTAAGGCTATTTGGATGGGGCAAGGCCCAACGCTCGTTTTGCAAATTTGTAAGGGTTTATTTCATTTTGGTATCAGATTAGGGTTGCAAACTTGAGAGCGGCGCCGTTCCTCATCGTCTTCTTCATCTTCTTCACTTCATCCGTCCTGAGCCCAAGCCTCTGAACGAAATTCCCCTCCGCTTACGGCCACCCAACGCCACCGTTCATCATCTCCTCGCGTTTATTCAAGCAGTGATAAAAAGAGGTATGATTTCTGTCTTAACGCATTAGGGTTCTCAGATTTCCATTCTTGCATGTTTTTATTTGTTCTGATTCTTTGATTATTATTATGTATTGTGAGGTGTTTTAAGGAAAGGGAAAAAGAAATTTATACCTTTGCTGGCTTTGTTGCTTGGAGAGGAGGGGAGGTGGACTGGAGGCGTCCTAGGGCGGCCAAGGCGGAGGGAGCAGTGATGCTGTGCTAGCTTGTCCTTCCTGGTATCCTCGTATTTTGCTTTTTGTTAGGTTTTGTGATGAGCTTTCTGAAAACCCTGCTTGTTTGCTTCTTTTCCTCTTCTTCTGTTTGCCTCTGAAATGCTTGTTGAGATGTTGATGTTGGACCCAGTGATGAGGTTGCTCTGAGGGTGCTGTTGCTTTAGTTGACCCTGTGATGAGGTTACTCTGAGGGTGTTGGTATTCTGTTTGATTCTGAGATGCCTGATATGCTTGTTGGTATTGATATGTTTTGTTATTTTTGACTGGTTTGGTGGTTGGGACAGGCAGGTTTGTATGGCTTGTTTGGAGCTTTAGGCTTTGAAAATCTTGTGGGCTTGTTGTTTGACTGGTAACTTTTGATGAACAAACTCTTTAGGCTTTACAGGGCTTGAGGGTTCTGTTTGTGAGTTTGCTTCAGTTTGTATGGCTTTTTCTGGTGTAGGCTTTGTGTTACAGGTTTATGCAGGTGAAGGCTTGTTTTTGAAAGGGGATTCTGTTTGAGGCTTGATATGCTTGTGTGTTTGAAACAGGTTTAAGGTTTGATCATTTGTATGGGAGGCAGGCTGTTTGTTGTTTCTGTTATAGTTTTACACAGATTTTTGAAAGGGCTTGGATTTTGACACAGTTGTGAGGTTACAAGCTTTTGAGTTATTTTTGTTATGTGGTTCTGCCTCCTCCTTTTACTGTGTTCTGATATGTCTTGTTTATATATTTTTCTAAGCCTCAAGCCTGTAAGCCCCTTCTCTCTCTCTTCTCTCTCTCTATCAGAAAAAGCATTTGTTTATTGCTTACTGTACTATGCTCTGAAAAAGTGATTGGCTTGGGAAATGATGATATTTTGAATATGGCTTGCAATGTTTCTTTCCTCTGCATCTTGTACTTGTTGACAGCTTTTCAAGATTCTCTGCATATCTTTAATATCTTCTTTGGACAGTTTGGTTGACATTGGACTTGGTTTAGTTTCTTCAGTTTGCAATCAGTTCAGTTTGGACTTTGCGCATTGGTTTTGAAATTTTGAACTGTGCAATTTGTTTTTTGGCATATTCAGTAGCTGTTCAGTTTGCCTCTTTGGTTGACAATTTTGGAATTACAGCTTTGTTGACATTTTGCACATGCTGCTTGTTCAATTTGCCTCTTTGTAACTTGAAATTATGCAGCCTTGTCCACTTTGTTTTATATGCTGCCTTGTACATTTTTACATGCTTGCAACATTATTTTCTATCCCTTTTTGTGAACCAAGAATTTCTTGTGATTTGCAGAGAGGGTGAATAAACTGATTCCGGCCAGTCACTTTTAATGATGAACTTTAAAATAACTGTCTGCTTTTAATTTCATCTGGGTTGACTTCTTTTCTTCTTTTTGTGTCTTTGCAGATAAAATCAATTGAGCAAAGGAGCATCAGTAGAAGATGAAGACTTAGGAAATTTTAGGATGTAGCTTTATTTCATTTTAATTATTTGTAATAATATTAATGTAAATGACTGTAAATGAATTTACAGTATTCAAATAATATATGTAACAAACAATTCAAAATGAATAAACATCCTTCTTTGTCAGTTAATTCTTCTTTCAATTCACTGTTTATTTAATTATTTAAGCTTTCTTGAATTAAAATAACTGGAAGTAGATCCAATTATTTTAACTTAGATAAAATAAATAATTAACAAACACTGTAGTCTTGCAATCAATAATAAACCCGGCGTCCCAATTAAACATAAGCAATACACAGTCAATCAAACAAACATCCCTATTCCTTTGCCTTTACTGATTAAACCAAACACTGCAAATTCTCAATCAACAGCCTCAGCCCATATCCCAGAGTAAATTTAAAAGGACTGTAGAACTAATTCTTCCTAAGAATGCGCGCGCAAAACCCTGATTCTTGTTTTAATGTCAAAGAAGCGCCTGCCTGATCAAACCCTGAGCCAAACTCAACCAAACCCTAATAATCTGCTTGAACTGTTCCAGAGTCCATGAAAACCCTAATTTGGATAGACTGATAAGAAAAAGTCTGTTTGACTGATTCTTACGCCAATCTGAAAAGTCAGGGAAAACCCGAAGCTGTGATTTCTTGTGGAAAAATAGGAGGGCAAATTTTGGGGTACAACACTATCCCATCTATATTATCATATAATAAGATATCTAATAATATATTATACTAAGACATAGAAAGAAGAATATCACATAATAAAACATAGAATATCCTTAACAAACTTATATGCTTAACATATTTATATTATATGCTTAGCAAACATAGAAAATATCAGATACTAACACATAAAAGAATAACATAGAAGAACAAAGAAAAAGAACACAAAAAAGAATAACATAGAAGAACGAAGCAAAGAAAAAAAAAGAACACAGAAAAGAATAAATAAAGAAATTAGTTATTTATTTAGAAATGATGAAGTATTGAAGTTTATATCATTAATTATTTTCAAATTAACAAGAAGAAGATGTTTCTTTTGTTCTTTAGATCAGAAGAAATTATTTTAATATAATCAATAACATTAACATAGAAGATATAATAAATAACATAGAAAATATAATCAATAACATTAACATAGAAGATATAATAAATAACATAGAAAATATAATCAATAACATTAACATAGAAGATATAATAAATAACATAGAAAAACAAAACAAAGTATATCAAAGAAAAACAAATCGAACACTCATGGAGGTATTATGATTTATAGCTTAGTTTGGGGAAATTCTCTCGTTGGTTTCTGCGTTAAAATACTGAATTCAGCCGTTGTGATCGGATTCTATTATGGATTTCTGACTACATTCTCCATAGGACCATCTTATCTCTTCCTTCTTCAAGGGCAAATCTTAGGAAAGGGATCTGAAACGAAAATATCAGCAATAACCGGGTTTATTACGGGACAGCTCATGATGTTTATATCGATCTATTATGCGCCTTTGCATTTGGCATTGAGTAGACCTCATACAATAACAGTCTTAACTCTACCGTATCTTTTCTTTAATTTTGTACACAAAAATGACAAACACTACTATTTGGGTTCGGGATCAAAACTGGATTCTGAATACAAGAATCCAAATTCAATACATCATTTTAGTATTGTTAAAGTATTCTTTAACAATCTTTTTTTCCAGTTATTAAACCCCTTTCTTTTGCCAAGTTCAATCTTAATAAGATTAATGAACATTTATCTGTTTCAATCCAACAATAAATTGTTATTCTTAACAAGTAGTTTTGTTGGGTGGTTAATAGGTCACATATTTTTAATGAAATGTATTGGATTGGTATTAGTCTGGTTACAGCACAAAAAGTCGATCAAATATAAGATAACTATGAGATTTGATAAATACATTCTCCTACAATTGCGAAATTATGTGGGGTAAATATTTGTTGTTTTTTCATTTGTTAGCTTTGCACACTATTTAGGCAGAACACTGCTCCCATATTATTATATTGAGGAAATGATGCAATACGATGACAGGGACCTGGAGGAAGTCAAAGATGCAATAGATTGGGAAAAGGAAGAAACCAACGAAGAAGAAGAAGATATTACTGTTTATCTTTCTGATAAAAAAGAGAATACTTTCAACAAAAAACTCGCCCCGTTGGAAAAATCTCTTGTAACTACTCTTTTCGATTATCGAAAATGGAATAGGCCTTTGCGATATATAAAAAATGATCACTTTGAAAGGGTTGTAAGAGATTAAAATTCACAATTTTTTTCCAGGTATGTCAAAGTGATGGAAAAAAACGAATATCTTTCACGTATCCACCTCATTTATCTACTTTTCTGAAAATCATGGAAAAAAATGGATCTCTTCAGAAGAGATAAAACCTCCTATAATGATAATGAATTGTCTAATTATTGGAGCTCTGTTAATAAAGAAAAAGGAAATAAACTAATCAATGAATTTTTTCAAAGGGCAAAAATGATAGATAATAAATCTATTAAATTTAGTCCTGTGGATGTATTTGAAAATCGAATTAGATTGTCTGATGATAATAGGAAAACAAAATACTTAACTAAAATATATGATCCTTTCTTGAATGGACGCGTTCGTGGAGAAATCCAAAAAGGATTTTCACCCTTCATTCCAAATGAAACTGACACAACAAACTACATTTTGATAAATAAGATTTATGGTCTCCTTCTTTCTATTAATAGTAATGATCCAGAATTTGAACAGAAAATAGATCAATTTGATAGAAAATTATTATTAAATGAAATTGGTTTTTTTTTAAAACTTAATCAGTAAATTTTCGGAAAAATCAGTATCAAGTTTGAATTTTGACGGACTTTATTTATTTCCAGAACATGAACAAGTAAAAATATATTCCGAAGAAAAAAAAAACAAAAAGAAAATTATTATTGGACGCAATTCAAACTGATCCTACTAATAATACAATTTTTAATAGAAAACTATGTAGTGAAATAAACGAAATAAGTAAAGAAGTTCCTCGATGGTCATACGACTTAGTCGACGAATTGGAGGTATTGATGGACGCGAGTCCAAAGGAGTCTCAGATTCGTTCCCCAAAAGCTGACCGTATAGTTATTTTTAATAGTAAAACAGATTCTAATGACAATCAGAATAGTGTTGAACCGGACAGAAATACTGAATTTGCTGTAGTTCGTTATTCACGCGAACCAGATTATTGTCGAGACCTAATCAGAGGATCTATGCGCCCTCAAAGGCGTAAAACAGTAACTTATAAACTCTTTCAAGGAACTGCACACTCCCCTCTTTTTTTGGAGATAATGGGCGAATACACATTCTTGTTTGGTGATCTTGTCTATGATATCTCCCAATATTTGAAAGAATATTTCAGGAAACCGGGTACTGATAATTCAGAATTTTTGGCGTTTGAGAAAACGATAGAATAGAAAGAGATAGAGGAAAACAAAGACGAGTTTGAAATAAGACTTAGACAAATCGAAGAAGCCTGGGAGAGCATTCTCTATGGTGTAATAATCAGAAGTTTTGTATTACTATTCTAATCAATATTTAGAAAATATATTCTATTACCTTCATTGATAATCATAAAAAATATCATTCGTATACTATTATTTCAAAATCCTGAATGGTCAGAAGATTTGAGGGATTGGAGAAAAGAAGTCCATATTTACTGCACCTATCAGGGCTGTTGTGAATTCAATGCCAATAACAAAGTATAGTATAAGGGAGGAATAACGAACAAGGAAGAAGAAGAACACAAGAATTGGTTATAACTGCTATCCTTTACTTTCTCTTGGAACACAAGATTACAAGTTTACAAGAATAACAAATAACCCTCTCACCCTAAATTAGGATTTGCTGTGTGTTGCAATGATGAGAGACTAGTATGCTATTTATAATAAAACCTAACATACTAACTAATGGGCTTTTTCCACAAGGCCCATTATACAAGATAACTTAATAAACAAGCTAACTTAACAAATTAGGGTTTAAACACTAAAACCTAATTTAACAAGCATTTTCGACAAATACATGCTAGACCCTTCTTCGACTACAGCATGTACTTCGATCATACTAGAGTTTGATCCAAAATCCCACAAATCTCCACCTTGGACCTAACTCTACAGCATCAAGAGACACTAACTAGCTTTCTTCATGCAGCTTTATCAACTGCATACAGTGGAAAAACTTGCAACTTGGCAATGTTTTGGTGATCATATCAGCGGCATTGTGATCTGTCGAGACCTTCAACACTTGGACTTCTCCACGCTCGATTACCCCTCTGACGAAGTGCAGCCTCACATCTATGTGCTTGGTTCGCTCATGATAGGCTGAGTTCTTCGACAGGTGTATTGCACTTTGACTATCACATTTAACAGTGATACCTTGACCTTGAAGTTTCAGTTCCTTTGCAAAACCTTCAAGCCACAATGCTTCTTTCACAGCTTCAGTTAGGGCAATATATTCTGCTTCAGTAGTTGATAAGGCAACAACCTTCTGAAGAGTTGCTTTCCAACTAATTGCTGTACCAAACATAGTGAAAACATATCCAGAAATAGATTTTCTGGAATCCATACAGCCTGCATAATCAGAGTCAACATAGCCTTCGACAGCTGCTTTACTATCTTCACCCAAGGCTCCACCATAAATTAAGACTCTGTTCAGAGACCCATTTATGTACCTTAGAATCCACTTTAACGCTTGCCAGTGAGCCTTTCCAGGATTCGCCATGTACCTGCTTACAAGACTTACTGCATATGCTATGTCGGGTCTAGTACAGACCATAGCATACATCAAAGAACCAACTATATTAGCATATGGGATGCTGTTCATATAGGTTCTTTCAACATCAGTACTGGGACATTAATCAATGCTCAGCTTGAATTGGGGGTTTGTTGGAGTCACAACAGGCTTTGAATTCGACATACCAAACTTGTCAAGAATCTTTCGTAGGTATGCCTCTTGAGATAAGCATAATTTCGACTGCTTTCTATCTCTTCGAATGTCAATTCCAAGAATCCTAGATGCAGCTCCCAGATCCTTCATGTCAAACTCCTTATTGAGTTCAGCCTTCACCCTCATTACATCTTCGACATTGTTGCTTGCTATCAGAATATCATCAACATAAAGCAACAAAATAACAAATGTATTTTCAGGTCGAAATCTGGAGTAAACACAATGGTCGAACTGACTTCTAATGAAACCTATGTGTTCCATGAACTTGTCGAATCTCTTATTCCACTGTCGAGGAGATTGTTTAAGTCCATATAAAGATCTCTTCAGTTTGCACATATAATCTTCTTTCCCCTTTTCGACATACCCTTCAGGTTGCCTCATCAGGATTGTTTCATCTAAGTCACCATACAAGAACGCAGTCTTCACATCCATTTGTTCCAGTTCAAGGTCGAACTGAGCCACCATGGCAAGCAACATTCGGATGGATCTGTGCTTCACAACAGGGGAAAAAACATCATTGAAGTCGACACCTTCTTTCTGAGTGAAACCCCTTGCGACTAATCTTGCCTTGTACCTCTTCGACATTACTCCTTCAATTCCTTCCTTAACTTTGAAAATCCACTTACAGCCGACTAACCTTGCCCCAACAGGTTTCTTGATTAGTTCCCAAGTGTGATTATCATGAAGAGATTTCATCTCATCATGCATGGCCTTTAGCCATTCAGTCTTCATTCGACTCCTTATAACTTCCTTATAATCTCTAGGTTCTTCGTCTAGAACTTCACTTGCAGAGATTAAGGCATAAGCTACAAGATCTGCATATCCAAGTCTCTGAGGTGGTTTTATGACTCTTCTTTGCCTATCTCTCGACAATAGGTAGTCATCAACAGTTTCCTCAACATCATCAGAATCTTCTGTTTCTTCTTCGACTTCATCTGGGATACGCATTTCAGCATCAACATGCTCCACCTCAACAGGAATCTCTACCTGTTCCAGCTCTTCGTCAACATCATCAGTTTTCTTGAAAGCCATTTCAGTTTCGTTGAAAACTACATCTCGACTGGTGATACACCTCCTGTGACCTGGCTCTAGGCACCATAGCCTATAAGCTTTCACTCCTTCAGGGTATCCCATAAACATGCATTTCAGAGCTCTAGGTTCGACCTTGTCTTGCCTAATGTGAGCATAGGCTACACAGCCAAATACTCTTAGTTTGTCGAGATCTGGTGGATGTCCCGACCAAACTTCTTCGGGTGTCTTCATATCTAACGCTGTCGAAGGACATCTGTTTATCAGATATGCTGCTGTCGAAACAGCCTCAGCCCAAAACACCTTCTTTAATCCCGCACTAGTCAACATGCATCTAACTCTCTCCAAAATAGTTCGATTAAACCTTTCAGCCAAACCATTTTGTTGTGGAGTACCTGCGGTAGTTCTGTGCCTTGCAATACCAGAGGCAACACAAAAACTGTCGAACGCCTCATTGCAAAACTCAAGGCCATTGTCGGTTCTCAACCTCTTTACCTTTCTGCCAGTTTGATTTTCGACAAGAGTCTTCCAACTTTTGAAATTCTCAAAAGTTTCATCCTTAGTCTTCTGGATGAATACCCATAACTTTCTGGAATAGTCATCTACTATGGATAGAAAATACTTTGCTCCTGAATGTGATGGACACCTTGCAGGCCCCCAAAGATCAGCATGGATGTAATCAAGGGATCCATGTGTTCTTTGTTTGCCTTTGTTGAACTTCATTCTACAGGACTTTCCAAGTACACAGGGTTCACAAAACTTCAGCTTTTCGAATTTATCTCCACCAAGCAGATTTTGTTTCCCTAATTCAACCAGACCCCTTTCACTGACATGGCCCAATCTCATGTGCCAAATTTCTGTTTTCGACAAAGGTTTCGTGGATGCAACATTTGTCGAACCACTTACAACTTCAGCCTCAAGGGTATACAAGCCTTGTTTCTTCACGCCTCTCAAGACTTCCTTCGACCCTTTCATGACTCTCAGGATACTTTTCTCTCCTTGAAACACATATCCTTTCTTGTCGAATTCACCAAGAGAAATCAAATTTCTCTTCAAATCAGGTACATACCTGACTTCAGTCAACAATCTTATTGACTCATCATGGAGCTTGAATCTCACAGATCCAACGCCTGCAATCTTGCAAGCTTTGTTGTTTCCCAGCAATACAGATCCACCATCTTGATCACATAATTCCTCGAACAAGTCTTTGTTTGGAGTCATGTGCCAAGTGCATCCAGAATCTATAATCCACTCCTTCGACGAGT